ACGCATTTTGTAACTTGGTGCAGATTGTGTAGAGCAATGGGTGGTGCTGAAAAAGTTGAAATTGAACATGGGAACCATTCTCTATCTAACAGAGTTGCTGAAGCTGTTGAAGCCATAATGAGCTTCGTCAAGCGAGAAGGTCCGAGCGGGTGGGATGATCCATGGAACTAAACGGGTTGATCCTGCAACTTGAATGAATTATTTTGCCTTTACATTCTTTGTTTCTATGTATCTTATCAGTTACATGTACACTGCAGATTGAGGAAAGTACAATATTATTTGTCTTTACCTAGCGAATGGTAGTCTAGAAGAGCATATCATTTCTTTCCATTCTTTGTCATGAATATTTGGAATTGATTCTTCGCAAGATTGGGAATTGAATATTTATCCTTCTTTTATTGGAGTAATTTTGTGGATTCTTGGATCTGAATATTTTCATTGTAAAAGGTTGTGTTGTCTTGTATATTTATTGTGGAAAGAAAGCACAATCGTGCTTTTCTTTAATTTATTTGACATGTACATTTGATTTGTTAGTTTACTACATTTGTTTGTGTCTAGTTTCTAGCTTGGATATTTTCTCGGTGTAAAAGAAAAATAAAAACTTGTATATATTCTTAAATTAAAAATTTAAGGGGTCGTTTGGTTTAGAAACAAGTTTTACTGGGATTATGATGTGTGGATTATACTACGAGGATTTTTTTTTTTTATAGAATTTCCCAGATTTCCTGGGGTGTTGTATTTATTTCCAAAATATAGGAGGAGGATGTGAGCATTTACCTCCAAGGATTACAACATAATGATATACATCTGACAGAGGTTGTTACATAAGTTTGCGCCTCTGTTAAAGTACAAGACATTTACTACTTAGCTAACAAAAAAATTTGCTTTGTCATATTTAAGCCTAACAATAGGCATCTGGTGTTTGTCAAGCACAAAAGAACTTTTAGTTCCTTTTGGGAGTTGTTGGAAAGAAAGGTATAATTTGGCTTCAGAGTTAGTAGTTGCCAATTTTGCGAGAGAATCTGCTACTTCATTTGCCTCCCTGAAGCAATGCACAAGGCTAATATTGGCCTGGTTCATTATTTGCGAAGTGTCTTTTATGATCTTCTTCAACCTATAGTTGTTGGTATCACCCTCCTTAAGTATATTCATTACCAGCATTGAGTCCAATTCAATTGTGAAGTCTGAGAACCCATTTTGTACACACCAATTAATGTCAAACATAGCAGCTTGAGCCTCTGCCATGTTATTGCTGCTGCATTTTGAAGGAATTGAGAAGGCCATAATGAGATCTCCTAGGTCGTTTCTCGCTACTCCTCCCAATCCCGCTTTTCCATTACCATGAATAAAGCTTCCATCAGTGTTTACTTTAATTGATCCCTGTTTAGGTTTGTTCCAGCATACTGAGATAGCCTTAGGAATAGGTTGAAGTTTAATCATGTTGTCACAAAAGTTGGTCCAAGGCAATGTTAGCTTGCATTTTGGGAAAGCTCTATTGATTGCAGCTTGAGTATTCCAGTAAATCTGTTGTTTCATCTTGTAGTAGTTGAACCTCTTTTTATCACCTATTTGCAAGAACATCTACTCTTCCACATCTCCCAGCATATTATAATAGGGATGATTTGGAGAGCAAGTTTGTGAAGAGCATTATTGGATTTTTGTAGCCACCAATGATTTATTAATCCTTTAATTGGCAATTGCATAGGAATGATTCCTAGGGGGGATCCTATAGCTTTCCAGATATACCTAGCTGCATCACTCTCAACAAAAACATGTTGCATAGTTTCTTTTTTTGGGTTAGTGCAGCAGTTACAATTAGAAGTAATATTCTTACCAAGATTAAGGATAATATCATCAAAAGGAAGTTTAGATAAGCACAATCTCCATGTTAGAAAAGAAATTTTAAAAGGAATGCTAGAGTGCCATACCTTTGTAAGGAATTGATCTTTCTCCTTTGTGTCTCTGAACAGATGTAAAGCCGTCTTGTTAGAATACTTACCATTTTCAGTAAGATCCCAAAAGGTTTGGTCAGGCAAATCATGCCTACCAATGTTGATATTTTCTATATGGTTGAACTCATCTGGAAACAAATCTTTGAGCCTTTGGATATTCCATTTGCCATCTTGAATAAAATCTTTAACGAGGATTAAATAATGATTATTATCATTATCATTATTATTATTATTTAATGGATATACTTTTTATGTAGATGTTTGTTTGTAGGATTAAAGCTGGAATATATGGTGTACAAATAGAGACGGAATCAGGATTTGAAATTTATGGATTCTAAATTTGTCACGGGATTGATAACTTATCTTAGTTATTGGGTTCATAATTAAATATTATATATATATTTAATGAATTTTCTAGTACAAATACAATGCAGTCAATGCTTAAGCAAAAGTGATGTGTTAGGTTTTTTTACCGTAGATAAGTTTGAAATAATATTTTAAATTTAACTTTGACCATCTTAAGTACTTTTGAGAGAAAGAGCTTTAGAGAAAATAATTTTGGAGATTAACATTCTGGAAAGAAGATTTTGGAGATTGATATCATGGTCATCTGGTTGATTTATCCTCAAATTAGCTAATCTCGTTATTGTTGTTTCATATTAAATGTGATATAAAAATAATATTAGTGGTGTGGTACAATAAATCCCAAGATTACTTAAACCGAAATCACAAGTTTCAATCAAGGAGAGGACAATAGAATTGGGATTTTGATTTATTTATTTCTCAAAGTGAATGTCACTCTCATAGAAGGTTCACTTGCTATGTTCATACAATATATTTTTCTTCTAGCTTTTGACTTAATAAAATGTGATCCACTTGCAAAAAACGACTGTAGCAAGTTGGCTTGCAAATGAAATAATTGGAAATAGTAATTCTCAGATCTACAATAGTCCAAGCAAATGGGACTAGAAGAAGCTCAAAAATGAATAGTATAATATACAACACTATTCCCCTATACAACCTTTAGTATTGGCACTAGACCTGGAGATGACTACAACGTGGAAGTAGTTTCAGAAAACATAATGACAGTAAAATACAGATAGATAGATCAAAAATATCACCAAACTTCTTTCACCCTACTCTCACCCCCTTTTCCTCTCGCAAAAATCTATCAGCCCAGCTTGAAATGCACCATCCAAACGCTTGAAACCAGAGACAATGCGCCGTTTACCATCACCGCTAGCCACCTTCTATCGTGCACATAATGCATTGAGCAGTACATGACCAAGCATGAGGTCCACAAAGTATTGGTGCCCAATCTGGCCATCCCTCCACTTCAGCTTGGCAGGAGCACGGCCATAATGCACCCCGTCATTGCATCGGTTGTCATAGTGCCATGGATAAGTCATGTCAAAATCATCAATTACGCGATCAACTAAACCGTATGCCCTCAACTTATCCAGGACTACCCCATTGAAGGCCTCCATTTTATTTGGATTGAATGCCAATCTTCTAGCGTATCCGCCTGTGGCGACTGTGGTCCTATATATGACTTCTGGTAGTGTCAACCCTCTCTGCCTTACCTCATTCAATACTTCAGCCCAGAATGATGCAGCATAGTCGGCGCCTTTAATGAAATGCCTAAGACTAGACCAATACACTCCATCGTGTAAGCCCGAATTCATGATTATGGCGTCTGGAATAACATTTCCAGAGAAGTACCCTTTCAGAAGTTCTCTATAGTCAGCATCTGCCAACGAATTCAAGCCTCGATACTTGCCTGTCTCATTAGGATGCCCGTTGTAAATGTTAGTAAATCGAACTGCTTGTGATGGATTCCTTGCGTTGCTAATGTTCATATCAACTCTTCTTGGGACATCCTTCATATCATTCACGTCTAAAATGAAATTAAGGATGTTTCTCACTGTATCACAGTGATTCGAATCGCCCCACCAGAAAATCCAGCGATCCTTCAAACAGTTCCAGGCTTCTTCACTTGAGAACATCTTGAATGAACAATGTGTTGAATATACCCAACCATTGCTCTCCAACAACCCCAAGGGTCCATCACACCATGGTTTTTGGCATGGGAAATTTGGTTCTTCACATCTATATCGCCCGTCATTGCTAATTGGGCAGCTATTATTCTTAGCATGACGAGTCCATCGACCAGACCACACATCTCTAACAAGATCTGACTTCTTGCATTGAGATATTTCAGGTAATTCAACAGAGGATTTGGAGAACTTGACTGGGATCACGCGGAGAACCTTGTCAANTAAGGGGAGGCCTAGACTTCCATGTTTCACCAGCAAGATCAGTCTCAAAATAATCACCACCCAAACAATGGGGTTTCCCAGAATCATCCAATGCATGGAAAACAAACTCATGAATATCCCCTGTTGACAATTCAACGTTTTCGCGACCATCCAAAGCTGGAATCTTTACATCCACAGTTCTTGATTCCCTACATGGCTCACCTCCAGGAGCCAACCAATTAGTAAGAAGATTTGATGAATAGTTTGCCTCTAATTCAGCTGAAATCCACCTATGAACTCTCGGCCTTGAAACCTCTACCAATTCTGGTTCCGTATGTGACACATTTGTCACTATTTCAAGACTGAAATCAGGGGCATTACCTTGATTCTCAGTCAAAATAATCTTTTGAGGTTCAACTTTAGGAGGTAAAGTTTCTCGGACAAAATCTTGGTTCAGATTCTGGTTAGTATTTACAGAATGGGGTCTGAGAGAAATATTGGTAAAGCTGAAATTTTTAAAGGTAGGACTAAACTTTCCTGAACTATTCACCTTCAACAGAACAAAATCTCTCTGAAAATCACCCACGTTCACCCCATAAAATGACCATACAATCAAGAATCTAAGTAAAAGAGCCATTGTCAGTATCTTAAACCACCATTGAACCTTGGGGTTATTTGACCTCATAACCCACCCAATAGTTGCACCTTTCTCTGGCATCTCAGCAGAAAACATATTGACGATGCTTACACAGAACTAACTGTACATGCACATTTCAAACTTGTCCAAGTTCGTAGAGATGATACAAGGTTAACAAAGAATGCAACGTGAAAGTTATTAGTATTACCACATTACAAGTAAAAGTATATTAATTGCAGAAAATATCATAGTCTAGATCACGTGATAGTGCATAGTGATATTCATTAGTTTTGACCACATTACAAGTAACTATATTATTTTGCACAAAATGTCATTGTCCAGATCAAGTGATTGAAACATAAGATCTTCATTATATTTATTTCATTCATCGTACTATGCACAAATAAATTGATGAATGAAAAGGTAAATCAATTAGTACGTTAATGATATTATACAAATAGCATCGTTCGGTCATTGTGTATATATAATAAAGGCATGTAATCAATCATAACTAAAAATAATAGACTCATTTTTAGAAAAGAGAGATTTTAACCTAACTAATACTACAAGAATTTACTAAAATGACATAACTGGAGTATAATGGTCGGTAGCAGTAACCATTTATCGAATTGTTTAATCAAATAGTGTAAACGCAAAGAGTTGATGGAGTGGCGTGTAAGGCAAAATTTGTCTGTGACTGGCAGGCGGCAGCAGCAGATTCTTCTTATGAGAAATTAACTTGAAAATCAATGATAGCTTCAGCGCAACGATACCATTTTTGTCGGTGCAGTACTACTTGAATGATCTTCTGCCCATGGCTGAGGGCTTATATTCTATACAGAGAACTTTCGTCCTCCTCTGCTCTGTACATGGGAGGAGGGTGCGGAGAGGTAAACTACTCGTAGGGGTTTGGGTCGGTTTTTTCCTAAAAATAAACCAAATCAAGTAAATCGATTTGTTTTTCAAATATTGGAATCAAACCAAACCAATTAAGTCCTACCTCTTCAGTTTTATTGTTTTTACTTTATTATTTATACTTCATTGTTCTTAGCTGACCTCGAGGTCCCCAAGAAAGTCAATGTCACAACCCAAACCGATGGGCCGCGACGGGTGTCTGAGTCCTACCTGTCAAACACCCCTAAGCATGCGTATAAGATATAAACCTAAATAATATCTGCTGAATTACGAGAATGATGTACATGAAGGAAATCTGCCCAAAAAGGCATACATACATATACGTGCAACGTACGTAGAGCGAGCCGACAAGGCTGCTATAGACAACTATATACCTCAAAACTGGAAGCCGCCAAGGCCACATACTATCCGACTAGACATACTGTCTACAGACATCTAATAGAAATATAACTGTACAAAGACGGGACTGAGCCACGTCAAGCCCATATATATATCGTACCAAACATATCGTACCAAAATCCAAAGCAGCTTTGGATCAAGTGGAGCATGCCAACTTTCGCCGATCAAGGATCCTAAGAAGGGGGACCGTCAGCTTGCCTACCTGCACCTGCGGGCATGAAACGCAGGCCCCGTGAAATAGGGCGTCAGTACGAAAAATGTACTGAGTATGTAAGGCATGAAAATTAGCACGTAAAAGACATAGATGAAACATGGAATAAAGAAACACATCTTTAAATCTGAATAACTTTGTAAATTCTGAAACATTTATAATGTCATGCACGTGCGTATAAATGTCGTGTCATGCATAGGTATGGGTGTACATAATATCATCAAGCCACCGAGGGCATCCCATCATATCGTCTCGGCCAATGTGGGTAACATCAACAACATATACCAGTTGATCAGGTGGTGGTGCGTATATAACGCCGTAACCTTTTTCCATATCCTATATACATATATTTACATATATACGCGTATATAACGTCATCCGGTCATGGGTCAATGCACATGTATAAAAGGGTGAAATGCATGAAAAATACGTAATAATCTCAATATTCCTTCCGGATAAATTTTTTCAACTGCGTATTGTTCTGAAACCCATGAACAGAAGATAAAAATAATAATTTACATGGGGAATCAAGAATATAGACACCCTTAATATTTCTATGAATAGAGTAATTTATGAAAATTGTGCGTTTGCTCGTTTCTTCGGTATAATTTGGACCATGCCAAAAGAAAGAAATGATGCTCTTAACATACCTAGAGTAGAGAAAACTCCGTATAATATTCCTGGCGAAGATTGCACCATACTCTTTTAGAAGCTTGAAATTAGCTTTTGTTGAAAGAAATTAGCTTTCAACAGAAATTAGCTTTTGTTGAAAGGAATTTGAAGATGGTTACTGTTTCCATGGAGGCCATCATCTCTTTTGATTCCAAAATGACAATTTCTTTAGTCTTTGTAAGTTTCTTAAGAATGATAGTGTTTATTATATCAAATGTAAAGTATAAAAAGTGAGGTCTTTCTATCTCAAATGAACTAAGTGGCTAACGTTTTTGTGCAGGTAATATTTTCCTATACAAAATATAAAGGTGAGGTGTCTTATACTTAATGAATTAAGTGGCCACCTACTCATAAATGAATACGAGCTATTTTCCTAATTGATGGCATTCTGCCACGTTTTGGGAGTTAATTTATTAATTTTTGCCCACTTATTAGTTAATTGGGTAATGTTCTGTTACCTGGTAATTAATCAATTACCCGCATAATTTAAATATTATCTCAAATTACTTAAAATACTATTTATTTTTAATATACTTTATACATCGTACTATCGTGGTCATATAATACCTTGCATGATACTAGTCCATAATTATCGGGTATTATCGCTTGACCCGTATTTTATCCCAAATTGGCCACTTTCAACGAAACTCGTTTTTTTTTAATTCGTGTACCCTTTATCCTTCATAACACTTATTTATCGCTTGTTATAAATAGCGTAAATATGTTAACCTCAAGATAATCTCATCCCCGAGTCTATGTCAATTAACTGAAAACGAAACTTTTAACGTACGAAAATGCAAGATGTAACATCCAAGCTCGAGGTCCTCATTATTATAGCAACACTAGTTTGGTTCATCAATTCTTCTTATCTAAACTTAATATTACTTGTATATTCGTTAGTATTAGAATAAATCACATATCTTTAAAACCACAAATTACATTTAATTGTTATCTCTATTTTTCGAGGTAAACAGTTTGGCGCCCACCGTGGGGATAAAGATAATAGTGATTGTTTTAGTGCTAGTTTTCTGATAACACACGTTATTCTTTACACTTTTTCTTGTCAAAGATTCTTTAATTTCAGGCTTAAACATGTCTAGCACACAGAATGCGACTATTCACGAGGACGAAAGTCTTGGAGAAAACAGCAGTATAGGGGTCGGTGTACCACCCATAAACCCTAAGGGAGTGCCAAACATGGAGCCAGTTGATATCAGTTCGCACAACGCTCTAAACACGGACACAAGCATATACCCCACAAGGAACACACATAGGGAAGCCCGAGCAGGAGGCTAGGAAATACGAGGGATGGAAGAAGGAGGAGTCATCCTCCAAGTGATATTCGAGATACTCCAAGCTCAGCAAGTCGCCATCGCTCAGCTTTAGAGTCAGAACAGAACTTCTAACACCGCCGAACCAGTAAATACCCGGCATGAGCCAGCGCTAGAAAGCCTGATGAAAGCGGCTCGGGGACTGACCCTNCTGCTGAACCAGTAAACGCCCGGCACGAGCCAGCGCTAGAAAGGCCCGACGAAAGCGGCTCGGGGACTAACACCACAATCATGAAAATGCTCGAAGAACTAACTAAAAGAATCGAGTCAGGAGAAAAGAAGATAGAAGACAACGATAAAAAGGTGGAAACTTATAACTCTCGGGTAGACCTAATACCGGGAGCACCTCCAGTTTTGAAAGGTCTAGATACCAAGAAATTCATACAAAAACCTTTCCCCCCAAGTGCGGCTCCAATGCCCATTCCTAAGAAATTTCGCATGCCCGATATACGAAAATACAACGGAACAACTGACCCTAATGAACATATTACTTCATACACTTGTGGAATCAAAGGAAATGACTTGAATGACGATGAAATCGAGTCAGTATTATTGAAAACGTTTGGGGAAACACTATCAAAATGAGCTATGATATGGTATCACAACTTAGCTCCTAACCCAATAGATTCATTTGCTTTATTAGCAGACGCCTTCATGAAAGTACATGTCGGGGCTATAAAGGTGGCCACAAGAAAATCGGACATCTTCAAAATAAAACAAAGGGATGACGAGATGCTAAGGGAGTTCGTGTCCCGATTTCAGATGGAAAGGATGGAATTACCACCGGTCTCTGATGACTAGGCAGTTCAGGCCTTTATGCATGGTTGAATGAAAGAAGCTCGATTGATCTCAATAGCTAAAGCAAAACTTGATTGAATATCCCGTTGTGACATGGTCGGATGTGCACAATCATTATCAGTCAAAAATTAGGGTCGAGGACGACCAGTTAGGAGCCCCTTCGGGCTCAGTTCATCCTAACAGATTTGCAGCCAAGCCCCTGAGGGACTCAGAACGGGGATCAAGATTCAACAAGGAAAGATATCAATCGTACGTCGAATATAGAAGGAACATTTCAAGGCATGATACACCTTGGAATGATCATAGAGTAGATCGAGGACAAAATACTCGAGGGCTCATGAATAAAATCGGGTTCGACAAGCGCTCGGGACTGATGGAGGCGCCCAAATTGTCAGAATACAACTTCAGTGTCGATGCCTCGGGTATCGTCTCAGCCATTGACAAATTTAAAGATACTAGATGGCCCACGACCATACAGATCGGACCTTCTCAGAGAAATACCAACTTAATATGTAAGTATCATGGTACTCATGGGCATAGGACCGAGGATTGCAGGCAGCTTAGGGAGGAGGTATGTTGTGCCCCCTTTTTCTCGCAAAATCGGGTTTATGACATTTAGGAGGACAACTCATTCCTTTTGGGAATTGGGTTTGATTTGAAGAGTCGCCACCTAATGATTAAAGTGCATTAGGACACTAGGAGGGGTTTGTTTTGAGTAACCAGAGATTGGGTAAGGGCTTGAAATTATCCCAAGGGGAAGGTGTTAGGCACCCCTCAGGATCCACTAGTGTGGTTCCCGACCAAACTATTGTTGTGACTTAAGTGCAAATAACACACAGGAAAGTAAA